CGCGCGCGCGCGCAACGATATGTGCAGTGAGTTTAGCTTTTAGTTTTTGCGAATGCTACAGGTGGCGCTTTTGCTTCTTGCAGGTGAGAAAGTATATAGATACCGGCACGTGATCGACGGCAGATACACGTAGGTGGTTCGCAACACGCGGACACACACACACACACGCGCACACGCTGCTTGTTAATCATCATGCTGACAGAAACGCCCGCGAGCAACGAGAGCAGCGAGCAGAGTACTGGCTCCGACAGCGACTCCGGTAGAAATGCATCGACGGAGAAGCGTGCGTTGAGTGAAAGAGAAGCCAGCTTCGAAGGCACGGACGCCTTGCAGAGCAGGTCGCGTGAATGCGGCGCCGAGTTAGCGACGGCGACGGCGACGGCGGCGGCGGCGGCGGCGGCGGCGGCGGCGACGGCGGCGGCGGCGGCAGCGGCGGCGGCGGCGGCGACAACGTCGGAGGCTGGTCGACTGCCGGGGGGCGCTTTCACGAGCCCGTACCACGCGATGGCCGAGAACACATCCAACGAGGAGAGCAAGGACTGCGAGATGGACGAGAGCGGAGAGTTGGAGGAAGAGCGGGGGGCCGGCGAGCCGAACGAGAAGGGGCAGACGAACGGAGGAGGCGTCGGTAACGGAGGCGCACCACATCTCGCCGCGTACCGAGGCGACCAGCTAGACAGTCCCGGCAGCAGCGGGTTGCAGAGAGCGATGCAGCCCGCCGACGAGGAATCGCCGCCGCAGACCGATGCGGCCGGATCATACGAAGATTCTTCGCTCCACTGTATATTTCCTCGCGCCGCCAACGACGACTCCATGCAGTACTCGTCGCCGGACATCGACGAACTGAGTAACAGTTCGGCGAAGAAGTCCGCGTCGGCAAAGCTGATGAAATCTCGCGTGCATCGCTGCAAACAGTGCGAGTTCAGTTCCACCGACAAAGACCTCTTCTGGGACCACTCGCGCACGCACATGCGCGACGATAAGATACTCTCTTGTCCGAAATGCAAGTTCGTGACCGAGTACAAGCACCACTTAGAGTACCACCTCCGCAACCATTTCGGCTCGAAGCCGTTCAAATGCACGCAGTGTAACTACTCGTGCGTTAACAAGTCGATGCTGAACAGCCACATGAAGTCGCACTCGAACTTCTACCAGTACCGCTGCCGGGACTGCACGTACGCGACCAAGTACTGCCACAGCCTGAAGCTGCACCTACGCAAGTACGGCCACAAGCCGGCGACGATGGTCAGCGGCACGGAGCTGATGATATTCCAAGACCCGGAGACGCTTCTCGGAAAGCGCGGCCCGCGAGAGGTGAAGAAGAAACTGTTCGGAGCGCCGAACATGTCGCCGACGGCCGCCGAGCCCACAGCGCCCTCTTTTCCGTACGGCTTCCCAATGTCGCTTGCCGCCGCCGGCGGCACTCTGATGCAGCCGTCGCTGATGACGCAATCGCAGCCGTACGTCGACGAGCCGGACCACAGCGCGTCGCGACACGTCCTGAAGTGTAACATGTGCGACTTCTCGAGCAGACACCGAGAGCAGCTGGGCAAGCACATGATGAAACACGCCGCCGAGCATCAGGACCTTCTCAAGCTCTACGGCCTGCACATCGACAACCTTCCCGACGACTCCCCGCAACCTCCCTTCGCGGCGGCGCCGCCGCGCGGCACGCCCTGCATGGGGGATCGCGAGCCGGATGAGGAGGGCGACGAGGAGGAATTAGAGGTTCCCTCGAGGGAGGAGAGAGAGAACGTCGGCTACCCGGACGCACACGTCAACCCGCTGGCTAGAATCAGAGAGATGGCGGACGGGGCCGACGCGCTTGACTTGAGCATGAACCGACAACAGCGTCAACGCAACGAGAACGCTCACGCCGCAGCCGCCGCAGCCGCCGCAGCCGCCGCTGCCGCCGCAGCCGCCGCCAAGCCTCAGAAAGCAGAGGGCGCCGCCAAGAAGCCGTCGTCGTCGAGCCGACGTAAGGGCCGGGCGTTCAAACTGGAGAAGATATCGATGCAGCTGCAAGAGAGGTCTTCCTCTCATGGCCCACCCGTCTCCTGTCACCAGCAGTTGTACAGCGGCGGAGGCGTATTCAGACAGGAGCCTGAACTCGGACTAAGCGAGGTCGCGCGCGTCGCGCCCCAGCCCGACCGACGCGGAGACTGGACGCAAATGCATCGGGATGCTCGCCTTGGCAACGCGAGGGTCGGCGTCGCGGCAAAGCTCAACGGAAAGCATCCGGTGGCGACATCCGGCCACGTCGCCAATAGCAACGGGAAGCTGAGCGAGGCGCGCAAGTACGAGTGTACGTTCTGCGAGATGGCGTTTGGCGATTGCGTCATGTACACTGTGCACATGGGTTACCATGACTACCGCAACCCGTTCAAGTGCAACATGTGCGGATGCCAGACGGAGGACAAGACGTCGTTCTTTCTACACATTGCGAGAGTCGCGCATTTCTAGTGTGTTTGCCCGCGTGCATGCGTGCGCCCGTCGAGCGCTAGATGAAACGTTACGCAATGTTGGAGAAACCATGCATAGGAACTAGTCACGAAGGAAACTCCCGATGACCGGGGAATTACACATAATTATGTGTTTACATCGAGAGCAATTTAAGTAAAATGGCATTTTTAGCTGTTAATATATACATATACATATGTACATATATATACATACATATATGTGGTATACATATGTACATATATATACATACATATATGTGGTATACATATACATGTATAAATATATATATATATAGTATATAATATATCATATTATATATATATATGCATACCAGCATGTATACCCAATATATTTTACGGGTTACACACGTGTCACGCGCGCACGCGTATGTGTGTAGGGAATATTTTTTCGTGACTAGATTCCGTGGGAGAAATACACGAGTAGGTGCTTCTACGATGAAGTAGCATTTATGCATTCGTTTTCGAGTAAAAAATGTCGAGGCAATCAGGTTGGCAGTAGGTATCTATACATGTAACCGTGGTAAGAACATCAGGAGTAAATAGCAGGGGCAATAAAACAATACTTATTTACTCCAGACTACATGCGGGTCGTACGAAATATACGTCCGCGAGAATGTAAGATTTGTTTACATGCTCAAAGCTAGGAACAGTGGGTACCCGATATACGATATCGTTACGCTGTCACTATGGGGAGTGGGGGTTGGGGGGGGGGGTAAGATATCGTATTTGCATTGGTTCGTGCTGTTTATATCACCGCTGTAACTGTCACAGCTATGGGCAGCAATTCAATCGAATCAAAAACCGTGTAGCTACTTGTGTAAAATTAATAATTATTTTGGAATGAGTATTTTGTTATCGTGATCCCCCCAATGCAAATACTATAAGATATAAAGAATAACCGTATGTGGATATAGCGTCATTGTTATATATATTGTCTCAGTCTCGTGTCTATGTATTATAATTATTGATGTTTACATATATGTCTCGTATACACCTGATGATATACGGCATTATATACAATTTTAACATAGGGCCCTTACTTATATTTTTACTTGTTGATCCCGTTAAAATTATCTCAGTATAATATAATACAAGTGATCATTACCAATCATTGGCAGGTTAATTAAGCATGTAAACTGAAGCGCACAATCCTATGTAATGTATGGTATATAGTCTATTTATATTACATTATGAGTTCTTGCCATATAATTCGTTACGCGCTGAATCGCTACTGGTCGTGTGTTATATAGCAGAATACGTGTCTAAATTTTGTCTAACAAGAACAAGCTTTTTTTTACTCTTAGCAAACCAGTGCTTTTTTAGTGAGAACATGTGGAAACTACCGTCACAACTATAGAAAATTTTATATCGGCTAACCTATGTACATACTATCTATACGTATCTATGGTCACAGCGGATCATGTATTCCCGTCATGACCAGAAGTCTTCCGCTCGTTACAAGTGATGAAAAGTTTTACAATAAATTACTATATTTCTTCTATTTTTTCATAGTTTTGGCCCCCGAGGTGAGATCACAAGCATGTATGTGTAGTCGTCTCAGTGTAGGAGTAATTTTATTCCATATGTTCAGGAGTAGATAATAGGGAATTCCCTATTATCTACTCCTGATATGTTGTATATATAATTTCAAACGTTATTGTTAGTGGTACTGTGGTCGTTGTGTTTAATGCAAGTCGTCAATGGAGTTGTTTTACGTTTTAATCATTTATTATGGAATACAGTCACAGCCCACACGCTCGCACCCACGCTCTAGCGTGCGAGCATCCCACAGGGACACGCAGTTAGTGTGATGTAAAACAAGTTTATTATGTTTTTGTTGGTTTAATGTTGATAATATTATTTTAATTAGAGAACCGTAAATGCGTACAGTTCGTGTGCATTTAGGCTAACATTCAAGAGAGTGTGCGTACTTTCATGTTCCATCGGCACCCGTTCATAGTTCTTACTTGTTTCATGGGCGCGGATTCGAAAAAAACACATATCGAGTGTGTATGTTGTGTACCACCCAGTATTACATAAACCTGCCGCGTAATTAAACGTTAGAGTAATGATTAGTAGTTTAGTTAAATCAAAGGGCCTATCTACAGGAGTTATTGTCGATTACAGTGCCCGCAGTGTGTTTTATATGTATATGAGTCCAAGTGAATTGTAAATTGTTCTAACCGAGAAAGCAAGTAAAATTTCGTAGGGGCGGTAAGATCATTTGCAGGTTTTTGAGAAATTTTTGATTTTACTAGATTACTTGAGAAACAACGATTGATTGCCATCATTATCTGACCTCAAATGACCTTACATAAACGAATGTCGTTTGTATTGTTTCCCTATAAAACCTCATTGCTCACTAACGTCTCAGGCATTGCGTTGTCAAAAAGCATTTTATACGCATATATTAAAGATTTATGGAATAAAACTCGCGTGCACGTACAATGCAGCGTCTACCTGTGCTAATATCGTAAAGAATTACTATCTTATATATAGATCTCCCTATAGGATTGCATCCACGTTACCAGTAGAGTAGTGGTTTACATGATTCTCATCACACCCAGGACGGTACGAAATTTGGGAAACACTTTCTGTATTCTTTTTTATGTTGTTGCACTCTTTGCGAATAGGCGCGACAATTGAAAAGATTACAGTTAAAATTCGTTCTATTAATAAAACCTTTGATGTTTTAGGTTTAAATGAAACAGAATAGTGAATATGATAACAAACACGCAACAAGCGTTCAGCCATCAGTTGTCTTCTGACACACACAACGATACTTGTCGGCAAAATCTCACACGCGTAGACTTACAGTTACACATGCTTTCCCTAAATACTCCATACACGTGAAAATATTATTAAAACATAAACAAGATATATTTGTTAATACATTGGTAAAGAAAGCAAGTTTAGCACATGAGTAAAGTATAAGAAAGTTAGCCCGTGATACTAGTGTGTACAATGCGTTAGACTGAAGTGAGAATATCATGTGTTCATTTTCTAAACTCATTTGCCATCAAAGAATTGGAAACCAAACAGGGTGGGTATATGTTTTTTAGTGCAACACGAAACATAATAAAAAATGGAAAAGTCAGAAGGTAAGTACGGAAACGATTTGTTTATGTACAGCTGTATCTTAACCGTCAGTATATGTACATTTCACATACGTAATAATGTACTCTTGCAAAAATATGTATTTACATTTGTCACACATTCGTTTAAACACTGCTAGATTGCCTTATTTCACATCAGCATACCAATAACACGTTCCTGGATTCTTTCCCACACTGCCTAGCTGAGTTCCAGAGCAGAATACCATCATCAAACAGTTACGTCATTCTATCAACACAGTTTACAACTTGTCAACAGATCAAACTTCAACAGATCAAATTGAGGAATGCATATATATATATATATATATATATATGCATGGCCACTAACATGATAGCCGTTACTTATTACAGTTAAACCCCTGTGTTAGCAGTGCTCAATAGAACGCATGCTTGTCTATAAACGACGCTTCTGACATTTTCTCAAGGTGGCAGTTATACCGTGACATCTACAGAACCGACCCCTGTCTTAAACGACACTTTGGCCTTTTTTGAGTGATCCTTATAAAGGTTACACCGTATCAGTAGGATTGCCAAGAACTGCCTAAAGCCAGAACACACATGTAAAACTATGCGAAACGTTTACGAGAGCGCTTTTCATTTAAGAGCGATAGATGATCTGAAAAAGAAACTTCAATTAGTTTGAGACTATTAAGTTTTCTTTCGTTTTGTTTTCTATTAAGTTTAATTAGTTTGATGCCCTTTAATTTAAGTTGAACCTGCCTTCTACGAATAGAGATGTCATCGTTTTGTAAACCAACACAGCATTTACACGCTTAGGGATAAGCAAGAATGAGCATTTACCATCTCAATTATAACAATTCACGACCAGTTCCTTCTTATTACGACGTTTCCTAAGCTAAACGAGCAACAATAATTAAATAACACTGTACAGAAACGAGTAGCAGTCCCGCCAGATGCAACGTCCTTCTAATTTTAGAAGCAGTTGAACAGACTGGACCTGATTCCAAACATCAGGATTCAAACACATCTTCCAAAAAGCTTTCTATGACATAACGAGTCTATTTTCCATTACTGCAAGATTATAACCGAATACAATATTTGTGCTCCGTGTCATCAAACCAGTATATAGTGAACATTTTTCTATGATGATGCAAATGTGATTAGCTTACAGACAAGATAGACAAATTCTCATTCTCCATGACTTTTCTGAACTGGAAAACTATATTTTACAACTCAAGGATTTTCCAGGTTTTTTAGGACCCATAGAAAACTAGCACGTAAATGTCCCCAACAGACGATAACACCTATAAGTATTATTCTCTGCTATAGGTATTATTGTCGCTACCAAATAAGTATTAATCCACTTTTGGTGTCATCTCCTGGCCCGGGGTTCTATCGATCACAGTTTTCTGTGTTCAGCTCTTTCAGTGCTTCACTTATAGCAGTTTCACTGTCATCCATCATGGCACGATAGAGGTAGACTTGCTGCTGTTCCTTTGGAAGACCACAATCTCCCTGCCAGTGAGCCGTGCGCATCGCGTGCGACTGTAGCAAACACAGCGGCAAGACACTCAAGATTACATGCTCAGAAAATAAATGTATGTATAAAATGTTATATATATATATATCAAGAGTGGATAATAGAGATAAATGTATATATATAACACATATCCACATATATCATACCTATATTTTAATTTTAATGTTATATATATATATATATATATATATATATATATATATATTAAAATCAAAATATAGGTATGATCAAGAGTCCATAATAGAGACTATTCTATTATGGACTCTTGATATGATCTACTCTTGATATGATATATGTGTTATATGTTTGAGTGAGCGTTTGAGACAACATCTGTTCAGCAGTATGTATGTATACATATATATATATATATAAACATTAACAATTTATTTCAATGCAAGTGTCTAAATTGTTGTACAACAATGACAACAACAACAACGACTAACGAAAGGTGGTAGCAAACTGATGGCAAAGCACACATGGTTGGTTAATCAACCTTGAGTGTGGGGAAAACAATGACACGGTTAAGTTACCACTAGCACGATACATTTAAACGACGATCGTTGCTCAATGTACAATTGCATTCACATTTACCATGTCTATGTCCCTCGTCCAAAGTTGGCCACACCTTCCACTGCATATTGGGCATGGTCGCTGTATTGCAAATCCGCCACACTCCGCACATTCGAGAGAAATGTGTTCAAGTGACCAGCAAACATTGCACCTGCATAGCACATAACTAGATAAGTAAAACCACATTATACCATAAACAAACGTGCTGCCAACATTAGTTGCCTATTTTGACCCAATGTCTTTTTATGTGAATACTGTAGGTGACCACATTTAGATTTAATCAAGTGTTAGTAAAAGGCTGGGGAACATATATGGCAGAAGCTCTAAACCTATCAACTATTTATTTCAAAATAAAACCGAGTTACAGAACTAACTTCTGGGGCTATCTTGGACCTCTTAATAACAATAATAGTAAACGTGTTTGTAAGGATATCTGCGATATATGTGTGCAACTACGTACGTTTTACATGTTTCCTGCATCTGTTTAAACTCCAGGGAACCAACTAGCCGCTGCAAAGCTTCTTTTGTATGCTCCTTTGCTTGTCTCTGAAACTCCTCCCGTGATATTTGCACGGCGAAAAATGGTGGGGCTCCTGAAATATGACAAGCGCCTAGCTATAATCTTGCAAATAATTTATACAGCACGGCTCGGTTTACTTTTCGTTTTTTTCCCTAATATCTTTTGTGATCTCACATTTATCATTTTGTAATGTACTGCCAAGTACCATCTAAAAGTGTAAGACTCCACACAACTACAACGTATAAACCTTTACCATAGAATCTGCAATAGTACCCAATGTTATAAGTTATTCAGAGACCAAGCAAACTCTTGCATACAATCAGCTCATGCTGTTACTGACATTTTTACATGTTGATATCTGCGTGTTTCTATGTGAGTGTGAGTGTCTGTGTGCATGTGAGTGCGTGTGTGTACTCATCCGTAACACAGATTGATTCCGATAGTAGATTGATTTGTACCGACAGACTCTTCTAGCATGCACCCAGAATCATGGGAGCAATCGGCATCTTCCTCTATCTGCATAGCCTCATCGTGATCCATGATGCACCACCAGCTGTTAGGTAGAAGTAGAGGTGTCAAGCGTAGACTGTCATAAGTCCTGGCGATCGATCACACGGGTATAAGAATAAACACCGATGACGAATGCCATTTCCTCACATGACACGGTTTTCGTGATGTTGGTATATAAACATTAGGATGGTCAATTTAACATGTGCCTGTAAAAGAAAGGAAGGAAATCATCATTTAACTGGTCACTGTGAGTAAACTAAAATTGCACCTCCTAGGATATAGAATGATACTATTACTAGCAAGAAAGTCCTCTTTTTCTAAATTCATATGTAAGTAGATTAAGTTTTATAAACTATCTGGTTAGGAAGACTTCTATACAAATATGAAGCCCAAGAGAATAACCATCCTGCATTGTGCTACATTATTTTAACACATATTTGTAATCTTTTCACAGGTGTGCCTATGCCTAGGACAAGGCTATGCATTAAAATTACAATGTCTGAATAGCTCCAAGAAATGGTCCCACACTGAAAAATCATGTCTAACTCTTGATATTCAAAGACGTATAGTTGGCTCTGTCTTAAAAGATCGCCATAGCTTGCATGAGATTAGCCACAAGAACATATCTAAACAGAGCAGAGTTACTCTACTTAGGTTATGTTTACTTTACTCTGTTGGGGTACATTATTGTGTTTAATGTTAGATGTAAAAACTCATTGACTCAAATGTTATACAGCATAAGCAATGTGATGATGTAATTGTACCGTGCATAAGATATAATAACTAAACCTATGGCTTGCTTGCAGTAACTAGGCACCACTGGGTGCTGCTTATTTAGTGACTTAGTTAAGTTACACATTATTTTCTCAGACCAAGCGAATGATCATTGAAAACAACGCAAATCGGCCNCGCAGATAATGCGGGCCCCCCATGGAGGGTTACTCAGGCAGCATTTTAATCGCGAGATAAGCAAGTACTGTTACACGAATTACAGACGAAATTGATTAAGCAGAATCTGAATTTAGAAAGTAAATTGAATGAATGAAAAGGAAATAAAGTTGAATAGAGTTGGGCAAATTGACGTCAGAAATGTTAGACTTTCGGCACAATTCGCTCAGATTTTCGTCGCCATCTTGAAAACAACCCGCTCGCTGAGGCTGAACAGCTTTTGAAACTTGCGGCGCAACACGCGCTCGCTCGCGGCAGTGTCGTTCAGAAGGCGAACGCTAGCGACGCTAGCGAGCGTTTCGCTTCCCTGAACACGCCTCTGGGCGCCATAGAGTACCGAAGTGATGACGTCACGGTGGCATGACAACGAGCACTCGGCAGTTAGATGCGATATTATAATGACTACTAGGCAATTTTAATTTTAATTTAATTTTTTTTTTTTTAGGGTTAGGCGTAGGTTTAGGTTAGGTTTAGGGTTTCAGATTAGGTTAGGGTTAGGTTAGGGTTTTTTTTTTTTTAAGTCCTAGTAGTCATATCCTAAGTGCCTAGTAGTCATATAATATCGCATCTAACTGCCGGGTGCTGACAACGAGCCTGCTGGTTCTACACAATCATATGCTCTGCCCTCTGATAGTACCCTGGGCCCTGGGGGGACATAGACCCTATGAGCTTCAATAGACTCAAAATTCACAGAGATTAAGGCTAAGACATGTGTGTCTATAATGAGATGATATGATTATGATATGATATAATAGCCAGAATTTATAGAAATGTAACTCAAATCGTTCGCTCCATATGATAGTTAGTGCACGTTCCTACTGGTCATAGCTATGGGTCATAGCATAATAGCGTAGCGGGCGGGGTCTATTTTTATCCTCAATCACAGGTCGGAGCATTATTCTCTGTTTTAGATGCATGTGAATCACACAGGCACTTGGAGCGTTTCAATAAAATATAATGCTAAATAAATACGAAATCTATTTACTACCAACGTCTTAATGTTTCTATACTCTCTTTCACCTATTATTGCCGACAATTTCCTGCAAATGCCGGCCAAATGCTCATCTGCAACAAACGCTGGCTGCCGCTGCACACTGACACATAAATATATGAGCATTTGGACGGCATTTGCAGGAAATTGTCGGCAATATAATAGGTGAAAAAGAGTTTTAAACATAAACATTAAGACTTTGGTAGTAAATAGATTTCGTATTTATTTAGCATTATAATATATTATATTGAAACGCTCCAAGTGCCTGTGGTGAATCACATATGGTGTAGGCTCACGCAGGCCCGTAGCCAGGGGGGGTTCGGGGGGTTCGAACGAACCCCCCCCCCCCGCCAAGCAAAAAAAAAATTTTTTTTTGAATTTGCAAGAATTTCACCTCAGGTCGCTCTATTTTTGTAATAATTGCAAAATCTCCATCGCTGCGGGAGCGTGAACAGTGAACACCCCTCCCGACCCTCCCCCGCTCGTCGCTTGGCTCCCTCGCCTGGTCGCTTCGCGCCCGAGCAGGCGGCGTATACAGGGGGGGTCCAGGGGTCCGGACCCCACCTTGCTCGGCGAGGAAAACGCATCTGAGGGGTGTAATTTTAAAATTTTCTGGGGGAGGGCCCCCCAGACCCCCCCTTCGCGTGCTCGCAACTTAGGGTTACGGTTAGACCCCCCTGGTACAAATCCTTACACGCCCCTGCCGAGCAAATTGCCACATTGAAAAACGAACCCCCCCAATACAAAGCTGGCTACGGGCCTGGGCTACGTATCCGATATCGTGACGTAGACTGGCGGTCAAGCCAAACTTCTGCACCAACTGCAAAACCATTGATTAAGTCAGCACACACGGTATCAGACCATTTCAACTATATTGCTAGCTCCACAAAATGATCATTCATCGTAACACAGATATTTACATTAGTCCGGCAACCTGGTCAGGCAACTATAGAACACATAAACGATAAAATAGATGTTGCTCAATTGCTCTTATGTCATATGATTTGATAAATGAGCACAGCAAAAACATTGTTCTGCAACTTGTTTTGATGCACACCATCACAGTGGGCACAGCATTTTAATAGAATCAATACTTGCATTTATTTACAATCATTTTAAGGCGTACTAGGCCCATTGATTATGCAATGTTGACGATGCTAGAGTAACTGGCACTTTGTGTAGTTAATATGTACATAACCTTATAGCCAAATGCGTATTAGTTTGTCCAATATCACTGTTGGTTACATTACAAGCAAGACTTGAAATCGGTTGTTGATATTCATTTACGTATATACGCACGGACGCACATGGACAGCCCTGACAAAAAGTTCCTTATCACGAGCGTCCGTGTTTACGAAATCACTGATGATAGCATTGCGTACGGCCGAGCATGCGTGCAAATATGTCCGGTGCACTATAAATCTGTATCACATCCACTTCGCGGGCAGCGGTTTGAAACTGTAAACAACTGATTTCTTGGACTGCGGATTTCAATCGGACATTTCTTAGTAACCAGCAGTGATATTGGACAAACTAATACGCGTTTGGATGTTGGTTATGTACTTATTAACTACACAAGGTACCAGTTACTCTAGCATCCGTCAACATTGCATAATCAATGGGCCTATAGTACGCCTTTAACTGCAATGGTAAATACCACCTCAGATGAGGCAATAATCGTCATTTGTTTTAAGATGGTTATGTGACACTAAATAGTGATATATTGTATTACAACAGGCAGCACTAAGAATTTACTGTCGTAAGGATGTCCATTCATATAGAATTGTCCAATGGCGTAAAGATGCCACTTATCGGTCTTGGAACATATGAGGTGAGTCAGTTGAAGTTTCCAAGTGTTCAACCTTACTCAATTGCACATGTAGCATCGTGATATTTAAAGAAGCATAATAAACATCACTCGATCAGGTACCGTATATGTATTCATGAAGTAAAAGTGGCATATATGCCTAAAACCTTTTATAATGAATATATGTTTTGTATATATGTGTGGGTGCATGTGTGCGCGTGTGCGCGTGTCTCTGTCCATGTTATTGGAGGCACTTCACTGATTTATGCCCATCATGTAATATACACATAGTTCATGATCCAAGTTTCAACTGCTAAATTTGTTTCTTTCACTGAATGAGCATTCACTGTTGTTCCTCACAGCTAAATGGTAATACAGGCATTGAGGCTGTACAGGTGGCACTTCAGACTGGCTACAGAGCCCTGGATGCAGCTTGGCTGTACAACAACCAGGAGGAGATTGGTGAAGCTATTGCCAACGCTGTTAACACTGGTGTCGTCCGGCGAGAAGAGTTGTTCATTACCACGAAGGTATGGAGCGTAGGGTAGCAGGTGCCAGTGGGTACTACAGGGTGACTGAGCCGTCCAGTAAGTGCATATAACTGGCAGAGGCTGCATGTATTCTACCATGTGTATTTGGCATGTATTCTACCATGCATCCATAGATGAATGTAGTTATGATGGTCTTGGCATCCACCTATCTTTCCACGTATCCACCACCCATCACCTCATCCACAACCAATCCACCACCCCTCCATCACCAATCTAGCACAAATCCATGCATACATTGATCTTTCCATTCACGTACTCATCCATCTTTTCACTCACATTCCCGTCCATCTTTCCATCCATCTATCCATCCGTCTGTCTTTCTGTCCACACACGCACGCACGCACGCACGCACGCACGCACGCACGCACACCCATCCCATCCATTCATACATCCATCCATCTATCCATCCATCCATCCATCCATCCATCCATCCATCCATCCATCCATCCATCCATCCATCCATCCATCCATCCATCGATCCATCAATCTATCCATCCATCCATCAATCCATCCTATCTCATGCATCCATCCATCTAGGTGAGCTCTTACTATCATTGCAGGTTTCACCTCAGTTCTATGATAGTCAAGAGAGCATTAAGGAAAACTGCAGGTACTCCCTGAGCAAGTTGCGATTACAATATGTTGACCTGCTGTTGCTCCACGCTCCATGGGCTGTAAAGGTACATGTACAAACGGGTGCTGCCATCTGGTGATCATTAGGACACCTAAGGTATCTTTTCATTGGCTGATGGCTTCTGCTTAGATACATGCAGTTAATCGCCACTTAACATCCCACCTTGCCTGCTTCCTTAGACCTTAAATTGGTTAGTCATTTTGGCCACATCAATTCACAAAGATCATGTCAATGGGCATGCATTGCCTCTTTATGGTTAAGGTTCAAGCCCTGTGGCCATTGTCAGAAACATTTTAGTCTTACAATTAGGCGTGCTCTTTTCTTGTAGACCATTAACAGAAATGTCGCAAAGTTACAAGAATGAAAAGCCCTGGCAAATTTTCTTATAAATCTACGATATCCAAGACCCTCTGGTATCTATCAAACAATGATTAAAAGAATTAAAGGAACAGTAGCCTCTAGGTTCTAGGGTTATTTTCAGCTAATTTAGGTTATAATTGCGCTACATAAAAAGTTTCATGGTTCAATAACCATTAGAAATATTAATTTTTTTTAAATGTTTTAAAACTAACGACTACAGTTTGATTACAACGACGGTGGCGCCACTCAAAGCGCACGATCTGAGAAGTTGCGCAAAACCACTTTCCAGCCAAGGGCTACGTACAGACCGAGGGTATTTCTTATTTATTAATTTAAAAGCAAAAGGATTGTAATATCTTATAAACGACATATAGTTTCAGTTATAATATGGATAAATTTGCCCTAAAATGAATATCGTTCGGTTAAATGGCATTTAGGTATAAATATAATTGCTACTTTTGTGATTGAATATTTCCGCCTTAACTTAAGGTATAGGAGGAAATAACGACATTGCGGCAGCAAAATCAACGGCTCGACCTACGCTCTTAATATTCGATGTATAGTGTGATGGGGAGTGTAACGTTTAACGACATATGGTTTACGACATTGTTACGTCATACGGTTGTCGACAAAAACGAGGCTTTACGACTACACGCTTGTCTACAGAGTACATTACATGGTGTCAGAAGTTCGAATAACTTCAATTAAAACAATGAAAAGATAAAACAGTGGAAAAGTGAGTACGAGAACATTGAAAACGAATATACTTAAAGGCATTAAATGAACTGTGTATGAAGAAGTCCAACACTGAAGAATTTGTGCGAAAAGGGATCCGTAATAAAAGTTCAGACTCGCCTGAATGCTGATTTCCCGCAGGCAGCCATTGTTTTATGCCGGAACCAAGAACCCAACTTGACGAATGTAAACAAGACAAGAGTGAGTAACGAATGCCAAGAAAAGTGATACTTGTGAACTGAGCATGATTGTGTTAGCAGAGGAGTAAAATCGATAAACAGACTGTATAATTTACGACCTGTTAAAACACGTAGGCCTACATCATGGCAGAAGGCGGTAGTCACGATAAACCTGCTATGAATTGGAGAGCAGGGGATCTTGGTACGGAATGGAAAAAAGGTTAAACAGCATTGTGAATTCACATTCCAAGGGCCATCTCTCTAAGAAGTCAGAACTAGAAAAGGTCAAACTATATGAGACTTACATAGGGACAAAGGCAGAGAAATATAACAGTACTTTTTCATGGGCTGAACGAGAAAACGAAAGTTAAAGGGAGTCTATGACAAGTACAGTGAATATGTGGCACGAAAAAAAACCCAAATAAGTAGCAAACTGTAAACTTTAACAGAAGAAAACAGGACCAAGGTGAGAGCTTCGACAACTTCCGTGACAGGACTCAAAATAACTGATCATAGGACTGTGGTTATTGATGTTATAAGGAAACGGATGTAAGAGACGCTATCGTTCTAATAGATCTGCTAAAATCCCAAGTGAGAGAAAATGCCTAGAAAAGGGCATGAACTTACTCTTGAGATGGCGGTGAATATAGGTCAAAATTTCGAGTTGTCTCAAGAAAGCCATTGCTGGTGAGGAAGACTCCACAGTACATGCTGTGGCTAAGGAAGCAGAAGTTCAAAGGTCCATCGCAAAGCAAGAAGGCAAGTCGTGCAACGGTCAAAGAGAAAAGAATATAACACAGCAGAGATCAAGGATTATCCTGCTGTACACTCGTTGTGGACACAGGCGTGGACATGCTAAGCAATGATTGTCCAGCCGAGGACCAAAACCTGTCCATAAGTGCAAAAAGAAAGGGCAACTTTGCCAAAGTTTGCAGCGAGGGAAGCCAGCCTCAGCAAAAACTTGATAGACTATGACAGGCGATGACAAACAGAATTACACTCATTCTGATACACACTGTAATGCGTCCAACAGTGACCCCAGCACCAATGATTGGTGGGAAACATGTTACCTAGAGGGACAAGATACGAAGAGTGCAGATAGACACAGGACTGTACAATCGCTCATGCCATACAGCATGTATTAAGTCATTAAAGTCAACTAGTAATCTTGTGCCAATAGAGAAGAGATTACAGTCCTACACACGGTCACAGGATTAAGGTCCTCGATGCACACGACTCTGAAGGCACAGTAAACAAAGATCAGACAACAAATGTTACATTCTACGTAGTGGATGCGCAACAAAAAGCCACTGCTGTCAGGCCAAGCAAGTACGAAACTTGGTCTGATCGAGAGAATACACGAAGTAACACGTGAGAGAAGAGATTGACAAATACCCTGAGCTAAGGGAGACAACAGTACACTCCCAGTATATATCATCTCAAGATTGATCGCGACAGTCTAACCCGTAGTCCACGGACCAAGACGTCAAGCCGTCAAGCTCTCCTCCCAAAAGTTAAGCAAAGCTAAAGGAGATGGAGAGGGAAGACGAAATAACTAAAAGTAGTAAGCCCAACGGACTGGGTGAGCTCTATGTGGTAGTCCTGAGAGAAAGATAAAATCAAGGATATGTATGACCCCAAGGAGCATCTAAACCGGGCAATGACGAAGAAGAAGCAAAATACCAAAATACCCACCATAGAAGAAGTTCTGGCAGGCAGGCAGCCAGGAAGCCAAGGTATTCACAAGTGATAGATGCCAATCAGGTTCTTGCAGATCAAGCTAGACTACGAATCAAGTCTTCTAACAACATTCAATACCCCTGCAGGAAGAACAGTGCTACGTTTACACCTTCGGTATGCAAATGCGGCACAAGAAATAATATCAGAGAATTATGGAGCATAAGCTGGAAGATATAAGACAGACGGCGAGGCAATAATGGATTGACATCCTCATAGCAGCAAAGGATTCAGCTGAGCACGACAGAATCAGTGAGGAAGGTCGTAGCACGTGCAAAAGGAGTGTAAGCTTGAAACTAAACTTTGAGAAAGTGTCAAATAAGAAGAGCAGTGTGAAGTATGTGGGGCACATGCGATCACTGGCAGCAGGAACTGAAGGTAGACCCTGATAAGGTCAGAAGCAGTCGCTATACATGCGCAACGACCACATAAGCAAGGGAAGCGTGCGTACGATTCCTAGAGGATCGTCATTCATATCTTGCAAAGTTCATAACCAGAAGTTCCTTAGTGCCCATTGACGAGCCGTTTGAGGGAGGTCACAAAGAGATTATAGAGTTTCGCTGGGACAAACCTCATGCAAAGAAAGCTTCGACAAAGCTCAGAGATCTATGCTGGCAACACACCTTGTAAACTAGCATATATTACCGACCGCTGAAATAAGGAGATAAGAAATGCCAGTGTGATGGCAAGCAGCTTTTGCGCTTGGAGGGGTCACTACTACAGGAAGGGCAAGCCTGTAGCGGTACACATCAAAGGGCTGCTAACGAGACGGAGAAACAGGTACGCACAGATAGAAAAGGAATGTTAGCAGTGGTGCACTCGCCTGCAAGAAGTTTCATCATTACGTAGTTCGGCAGAGAGTCCACGTAGAGAGTGATCAAAAGCCAATTGTCAGCCTGATATATACGGAAGCGCACTACTTCTCAGCCAACCCAACTGAGACTGCAGAGCATGCTTCTACGACTGCAAACCATAGTGATATCAAACTAGAGTACAAGCCAGGAAAGAAATAGCCAATTAGGAGATGCACTGAGTAGAGCCAACCTGCCTGGAGCAGATGCTGATATGGAAGCAAGTGACAGTCAACATGGTGGATTACATTGCAGTCGCACCACGAGATACACAACAGTTTCAGGAACGCGGTCTACAGTGCCGAATGAACTCAACGAGTTAACACACGATGATCCTGAAGGGATGGCCACACCAACCAAAATTGGAGGTGCCCCATTCCATAAAGGGAATACTGGAATATAAGAGATGAACTATCCGTATATGATGGTGTGGTGTACAAATCTATGAGAATAGTTGTACCACCTAGCATGCAGACAAGGATATGCTGTCACAGATCCATGCATCACATCATGGGAATAGTAAAATGCAAGAAAAGGGCTAGAGAAGTACTGGTTCTGGCCAAAACATGGCACAGACAAGTGCAAAGAATCTGGTAAATGACTGTGCTGAATGCAACACATATCAGCAGAACCAGGCAAAGGAAACATTAAGTCCTACAAAAAAACAGCACCAGAACAACTGCCATGGATGGATAGTAGCATCAGACATATCGAATGGGAGAAAGCCACGACATCGTCACAATAGACTACTTTCTCCAAAACATCGAGGTCGAACAAGCTACCAGACTAAAGCAGCTTGAGCACCCATCGAGGCCCTGAAAGCGCAAATCAGTCGACATGGCATACCGGAGAAGCTGCGTACTGACAATGGTCGCAGTATGACTCCAGAGAGTTCATTGACTTTTGGTAATGATTATGGATAGAACACAGACATCGTCACTGAGATACCCACAATCAAATGGAGAAGCTGAGAGAGCAGTACAAACTGTCAAGAGACTTTGGTCCAAGTGTGCTGACAAACACTTAGCACTACTGATTTACAGAAGTACTCCACTGGAAAGCTGTGACAAGTCTCCCAGCACAACTGTCAATGTCTCGTAGACCAAGGAACAAGATACCGAATTGCCAGAGAGCTATTGAAGCCAAGGCATAGTGAACATTAGTGAGGTGAGGAAATGTCTCGACAGAAACAAGGAGAGGCAACGTCACTACTATGACTGCAAAGCAGGCGAGGATCTACCTGTGCTAGTAGAAGGAGACCCAGTGAGAATGGCACCTTATCCAGGTGCAAAAACGCTGGTTACCGCGCGACTGTCATAGGACATCACAACTCACCTAAGGTCAATGTATGTCGAGTACAACGGGAGGAAATACAGAAGAAACAGAAAACACCTTCACCTCTCTACTTACGCTAGCTAACAGCAGAGAACACAAAACTCTCAGAGCCAAACAACTGGGAGCAGCAGATGTGGACAGCCCTATGATAACGAATCGTCAAGTAGCTGGTCCGAAAGTTTAACTCCAACCCAAAGTGATTCTGGAGAAATGAGACAACCCAATCGCCCACCGCTGGTTAAGACGCCAGATAAACTTTCAGTGACTGTTAATCAACCGCGGATAACTCGCAGTGGTCGTGTTTTCTAAGACCACCCAAAATTCTTGATTTGTAAAAACGGAAAAGATTCATATATCGATAATGTTGGTAATTGTAAAACGGGAAGTTTTATATTCCGTCTTGGTATGAATCTTGTACATTTCATTACTTGTGTCACATAGAGATGGATTCTCATTATTATTTGTTTTATTGTAAAAAGAAGAGAGATGTAAACGTTTAACGACATATGGTTTACGACATTGTACGTCATACGGTTGTCGACAAAAACGAGGCTTTACGACTACAGCG